ACACACACACACACACACACACACACACACAGATGATCTCTCGTCAATACGCGCTTTTTCTGGCTGCAGCAGCGCTATAGCGCTGCACAGCAAAACGCATAAAAGTTGAAGATTTGTTGTAACCAAGTGCTGGATTAAAAAATTGTCCTCGCGAAGTTCAATCGTCAAAACAAACATAGCATGCCGACTCTTTAGCGCAACAGTTAGTTATTGTCGAATGGGTATTCTAGTGCTTTGCTGTATGTGCGCCAGCGAACCAGGGTACCATTAACTTCTATCTAACCAGCTCTCCAAAGAAAGGCCAGTGGCGATTGCTTTTGCAAATTCGATAGTAATCGCATTACTTTCAGTTGCTTCCTCCTGTCACATAGAGTAAATTGCAGAATGACTTTGACCTTTGGCTTTTTGGGCAGCACTGCGCACGTACCAAGCGTCGTGTCAAGAATTCACTGCGTTTAATTTGTTGAACTTACAATCTACTGATTCATTTCAGCAACAAATTGTTATCGGCATTATACCGCCTACAGTTTGTAGCTGTTAGTCTGAAAGAGAAGCCAACGAGTGGTTGATTTTGATAAAAGCAGCCATAGTCAGCGACGCCTCCATACCTCGATAAATGAAAAATTTTGAGTTTTAGAGTAGTCGAATTACTGCTTCTGCGCAGATGTCGATAAAAGGGCGGGGAAAGATTTGCTGTGTGATTTGAATCCCCCTGAAGCGACTGCTCGTTGCAGAGTCTGTTCAGATAAACGTTTATTTCAAATTCTGTAATCAGGACGCACTTCATTTTGGAAACAGTGGTGTTTAATTCGGTGAATGAATAAAAATTTGGCAATAGAAACTGAGTTCAAATGCTCTGCAGTTTTGTGAAGTGCCAAAAATTACGTGCATTCATTGTTTGCTTCTCTTTATTTTTCATCACATCTGAAATCAAAAATACGCCAGGTTTCCTTTGCTCATCCATTTATCCTTCTCTCTGTTTCGTAAATTCTATTTCTCGCTTGAACGATGAGAATCAAGTTTTTTCTTCATTAAGCGAAAACTTTGAAAAAAAATGTAAAAGGGGTCATCAGGCCGTAGAAATCACGCTTTGCCTGACTATTTGATAGGGCAGAAAGCATTATATCGAATTCTTTAAAAATACAGCGTTTTTTCAGTCAGTGTGGGAATCCGGATTTAATGATTCTTTTGGTTAGCGGTCTCAACCATGCCGAAAAATCATTGCTGGTGAAGAAGCAAAAGTTGTGGTTTAGTCAGCTGTGGAAAAGAACGCCTTTGACAAATTTCTTGAGACTTATTGGTTGAAAATTTTATTTGCCTAAAAGGGCATAACATTACTGTTAAGATTTCTGTACAACCAAATTGATGTTCTCGAATGTTTTTACTAGCTAATCAAAAAAAGTTAGTGCTTTTTTGCGTATTCCAGCAGCTAGTTCAGGGCAAAAAGTTGTCGATAATGTTGAAATCTAGCTTGCTTTCTTGGCTACCTTTCATCGAGGAATCCTGTCATGTACAAGGGCTTATGATTCTCCGCAGTGCCGAATCAAAAAATTTTCGGAGATGTACTATTCCAAAAAGTGTCAAAAGTGTTTCCTTCATTTAAATTTTCAGATTCGTTCGCACATCTGACTACGCTGCTGGCTAACATAACACAGAGCAACGCAGGTGTGCGACCAGAACTATCAAGACTAGTTGTAATAGTGGCACTTTAATGATTGGCTGCTGAAGGACGCCTTGCCCCAATGCCGTTAATCCATCCATCACATGTCTCTGTTCCTGTTTTGTATTCAGTTTTCTTTTGCTTGCTGAATGTTCATTTGTGCCCTGAATCACACAAAAATCGTCGATTTCCTCAGATTCTGCTACTCGTACGTTTACTGTAAATATATTTACCCGCCTTTTAATGAAAAATCTCTCTTGACATGTAGAGGACGAATCTGTGCATGGATGCGTTGAGCAGCAGTGGTGTGGAATCAAACACTGCCAGTACGGCGTCAGTCGATGACGATTCCAGTCCGCAACGTCAGAAAATAAGCACTAAATCGAAAGTGCGCACGCCAGCCGACAAAAAGCAAGTAAGTTGCTTTTCTTTGGACAGGGCATTTAATTCCACTTTACCCATGACCATGCAGCGCCTTCTCTCGAAGCAGGTCAGAGTTTTAAGAAAAAAATTTCACCGTATTTCGCTTTTTGTGAGAGCTGGAGGAGCTCTGGTGATAACACCCTGCTTATAGCATTTACTAGCTAGTAGTGTTAACGACCATGGCGATTTGAGGAATTAATTCTACGGTGAAAATTAATATTATCTAATTTTGCTGTCGTATAGTACCAGGCCTCTCATCCAGCACAGTATGCATCGGCAGTGAATTATCTTCACTGTCTGAATTATCTTTACACTTTCCTTTGCTCGATTACTAGTAGCACAGCAGTATGTGTGCGAAATTGGTTCCGCATAGGTGATGAAAAGAAAATGAAAAAGAGAGGATGACAGCCCTTCGATTAGACCACATGTGGGCAACCGGCGGCCCGCGGGCCGCACCCGGCCCACGATCGGTTTTAATCCGGCCAGCGGAAGGAGTCGGAAAGTGGTGCCTAACTAAACGATCGGGGAGTTTTTGCTCCGCCACGCCTCTACGCTGTCATGGGAATAAATAAAACTAAAATACGCACGAAACTAATAGACAACACTCTGCAAAATACTTTGAGACTCTGTGTCAGTGATATAAATTCAGAATTCAACAATCTTTTGTCAAAAGTTCAAATCCATAGCTCATATCCACTTTCTCTTATTTAATTTTCATGCGTTTTTGCCCGTTGTAGCAGCACACACAGACGACCTCTCGACAATATGCGTTTTTGCCCGCTGTAGCAGCGGTGTAGTGCTATAGCGCTGCTACAGCAGGCAAAAACACATATTGTCGAGAGGTCTTCTGTGTGTGTATTCGGCACCGAGTAAACTTTGCCACCCACTTTCATCTCACCAACCAGGAAAGGTGCGATTCTGAAATTTTGGGTGTATATTCCTACCCGTGTGTCATCCTCCTGTTTTAAAATTTTCGCTCATACGCGCCTAGACCTCACGTACGGCCCTGAAAAAATATGCAAATTGCTTTGGCGGGGCACGGACTCGCGAACCAGACAAGGTGCAAAGCTAAAACTTTGAAGGGATATTCTCGGTGCATGTGCGAGCTAAGGATTTCAAATTCAGCTCTTGCAAACGCTTGTGCAGCGTGTACGATCACGTGAAATTTTGCATACCCAAACTTTTATGGGGCCGTAGGTGTTACCCACGGGTACGGGGAGACTGAATTTGTATTTGTGGGATCACACTTGGGTTTCCGGTGCACAGCAAAAGCCACAGGTGCGGATTTAATTATGCTATACACACCCAGTGAAAATTTTAACATGCTGGATCTGGGAAATTGTATGCTGAACTGAAAAATTTGTTGCAGAGTTCAGAAGATGAGGAACAAAGTAAAGAAGGCCAACTGGATGATATGATAAAAGCATATACGTCCATAATCAGCCACGTAGGCGAGGATCTGGAACGACAAGGGCTGCTGAAAACACCGGAACGAGCAGCCAAAGCAATGCTCTTTTTTACCAAAGGATACGAACAAAATCTCGATGGTTCTTATTCATCTAATTTTAGTCGTCGTTTCAAAATAATCGGATTTTAAAATCATCTTCAAGTGCAAAATTATGGTTCAAGACGTGGTTCTGAATAGCAATCACTTGGCACTTCTGCGCAAGCCATTTACTGACCCATCATCTAATGATAAGTTAAAAATTTTTCAAAATACACGAAAGGAGTCCTACTATTACATTGCAACATGTCGTGTTAATGGTACTTCTTTCAGGTCAGTCATAGCTTCTGAAAAATGTCTCTTTATTGTATCAACCCTTCGTCTGCAGCATCCACAGACTGCTTGAAAAATAATATCTACCGCCCCTTAAATATTTTGAACTGTAATTTATTTAATTTGACACAAAATCAGATAAAACCGAATTAGCCGTGTAAGCTCTCGTATGATGGATTTGCGATCACATAAAGCTAAGCTGAGGGCTTAGATCAGGTTTTTCTCCACATATTCCTCTGTTGTTTTTATGCGTTTTTTGCACTATGCAATGCAAAAACGCATATTGTCGAGGGGTTGTCTGTGTGTGTGTGTCTGTGTGTGCATGTATGTGTGTATGTGTGTTCGTCTGTAACGAGTCTTCATTTCGAGATCCATAAAAGCTACAAGGCTGAAACTTTGGTAAATTAATCTACACATATGTGCGGACTTCTATGCTCAAAATTGACGTTCGGTTCCGCGTCGTTCTCACGTACGGGTACGTGAAAGTTTTTTTGACGAGAAAGCGCTTTTGGGGACAGCACAAACTAGGAGGTTGGAACTTCACGAAGATGTTTCTCGGCCGCGTCTAATCCAAAGATTTTAAATTCAGCCTTCACACACCCCCAGGTCTCACGTACGTACACGTCAAAGTTTAAACTGGCATCATGCCAGCTCAAGAGTTAAACTGATTTGAGCTGGCTGCAGAAAGCTTCAATTTTGCAGCGTTACTTTCCACCCACTGTTGTGTCCGTGAAAGCAAATTACTTGTCAGCTGTTCTGCATCTCATATAAGAACACGTGAAAATTTCACGCATGTGCTTTTGTAACTTCAGAATTAAACCAGCCAAAGGGCCTAAATTTTCCGAACATAATCGACAGTGATCTTCGACCAGATGCACACAAAAACGGCTTACACATCACTTTCACATCTCACATACGCCTCACGTGTAAACACGTGAAATTTGACGTAACTCTGCAACCAGAGCAGCTGGAGTACTGAAACTTTCTGAGCGTTACCCAGGATCATGTTTGAGTAAGTACGGGCGAAGAAAGCATTCACGTTGCCACTCACGTACGAACACGTGGAATTTGGCATAACTCTGCAACCGAAGCATCCAGAGCGCTGAATTTTTTGGGCATGG